AAAACTAAAATTCAAACACTATTGGGCATCCGTGATCGTCAGATCCGCCCAGATTCAATCTGAGATGTTGGGCTCATATATTCATATAAGTTAGTGGGCTAATCCCATCTTTTCCACACACACATATATATATATAAATAGGGAAAAGATGTGCACCCAGGTGCGTATTGCTATAGTAAACGCCCACGACCCAAATTGAATCTGGGCCAATCTGACGATCACGGATGCCCGATAGTGTTTGAATTTTAATTTTTTTTCTACAAATCTAAATCACTTGAAATTTGGGCGTGTGTTCTTCAAAAATAGGCGAATCTACGAAAAAATATCAAAAAACAATTTTATATGAAATAAATTGACCAAAATACCCCCAAAACCTTTCAGGGGGTATTTTGGTCAATTTTATTTTTACAAATTATTTTTTTTATATTTTTATTAGGTGCGTCTTGATGAGAAGGACAACACACGCCTAAAATTTCAAGTGATTTGGATTTGTAGAAAAAAAATTAAAATTCCAACACTATCGAACATCCGTGACCGTCAGATCGGCCATAGAATGGCCCAGATTCAATCGGGCCATTCGTGGGCTTACAACAGTGACTCCGTTAATGGATTTTTCGAACATCTGATAACTAAAAATGAGCAATTTGACACTGTATAAACAAACAAAAATGATTTCCCAGAACAATAATTTCCTTTCAGTGATAATTAAATGAACCTTAAATTCATAAAGATCAAACTTTAAAAGCATCAAAAGAAAGAAAAAAAGGCATAGATATTGATAAAGCGGAAAAATACATACCATAAATTCAGGTGCTATATAATAATCACCCTGGAGATACTCAAACGATCTTGTCACCTTCTGCCGGTAATCGAAAACAATATCAGCTGCAATCAATTTTCCAAGCCTTCTTCAAAAGATAAACAAATTCCAATTTTTTCTAAAAAACTAAAGCAAAGTTCCAATTACTCTATAAAAAAAAAATCAGAACACCAATTCTTCTTCCATTTTTTTAAGCCCAATTATTCTTCGATACATCAAACAAAATCCCCATTTTTCTTCGCAACAATCAAATATTCATAAAAAATATCAATAAACGGTCTAACCAGAGGCTCCATGAAAATTTACAGTAAAGATGGAAACTTACCGTCTTTTCCAAGAAAATTCCCCACAAAAAGATCATCAATTATTCCTTTCCTCGCTCCTACTGCAATGTTCATATTGTCCGCCTCTTGCCCTAACCTGTACAAATAATCTCTTCCTAACGCATCTTTCGCGTCCCATGATGACTGGCTAGGGTTTTTCTTCGTTTTTTCCAAAGTCTCTTCATCGTCTGAACCCTTTGAGCTCTGCTGAGATGAGAGAGAAATGAAATTACTACGCCTCTTTGAGGAGAGAGAAAGAGGAGAATTGAATCTTTTTCCAGAGAGAGAAAACCCAAAATCTATTGAATTGGGCGAAGAGAGAGACATGGCGTTCGCACCAAGGAGCTACAGAGAAAATAACGTATCGAGCTTTATCGTTATTTTGCGCTTTATCGCGTTATTTTTACCCGATATATACAGGTGGTTATTGTAGCACTTGGGCGTTATACAAAAAGTCGAGCATTTTATCCAAGGCCCTACCCTTCTAGGCTTATGGGTCATAACATTTTTCTTTTTTCTTTTTATTTTTTAAATTGTAAAAAAAAATGCTCATTTTTTATTTCCATTTTCCTGAAAAAAAATCTACTTTTACCTGTAATTCAAATTCAAAGCTCTAAAATCTTGCATATTATGCGGATATAAAAATATTTAAATATTAAAAATCGACGGTTTGGATAATGTGCTATGTGAGCACTATTTTTAAGACTTGAAATATTGTTTACAGTCGATGTAATCAATTGAAAGGTTTTCGGGTGTATGAGGAGGAATCATTTTTTGATAGGTTTTGATAGATGCCTTACTTCTATGGCCTGCACAAATACTTTCGCATATCCTTGCGTATGTATACGTGTGAACAAATAAGAGCCCGACACTTTCTTAAAGGAAAACGTTTGCATAGGGTTGCAGCTCTAGTAAAATAAGAAAAGCCTTTCCTCAAAACTCACCTTTGCAGTTCCGGCATTGAAAACGTTTAAATCAATTATCCTACTTTGACCTTTAATGTTGTACAAAAAAAAAAAAAGAGTTTTAATGCTTAAAAATAATATATATTGTAACACATTATCAAGGTTGTATATTTCACCCTAAAAATAAATGTTTACTATTTTTTAAGTTTCAAATTTAATAATCAGTATTGAGAATTGATTTAGAGCCGTGAGATTTTTTATGCTCAGAATGTTTTTCTAATGAGGAACTGAGGTGAGGTTGTACTTTGTTTTCACAAAGCCCAGGCCATATAGAGACAACATCATTTCTTAAAATCTCTTGTTGGTCTTGTAAGCTCCCATTCCAAGATATCTTTAATTAAAATATTATTTTCTTTTTATTCTGAATACAAAGTTGAAAAGAAATGCAATCCATCTTTTATTAAGATGTCTTTATAATTTATCCCACTTCTAATTTTTAAACATGATGTTATGGAGAAGAAATAGAAGTGAGCAGATTAAAAAGAAAAACTTTATGAAAAATTAAAAAGAGTTTTCCTTTGTTGATTACCTTTTCTTTTTTTTAAAAAAAAAAAGAATCTCCATAAGAGTGTTACCCTCTCCCAACAAATAAGATAAAAAATCATTAAAATTTAAGACAAAATATTCCAACAATTATAAGTCCCAACAACTAGTGAAGTTATTGATAGTTGCAACCGCGTTTGTGCTAGTTGAACCTCTGCTTTCGGTCTAATTTAAAACACTGGTTTCTTTAGTCCTAATTTGGTTAGAGAGTAGTCTTTGTAGGGGATCGCAATGGGCTAAGCAGGAGCAGCCTGGCCTGACCAGGCCATAAGAAATTAGGGCCTGGGCTGAGCCCAGGCCACAACAGGGCCGGTTGAGTTTTTCCTTCAATATTTTATTTTTTAAAATATCCCTAAAAGTGTATTGGGCCCAGCCCAAGCCCAAACGAGGCCAAGACCTCTTTGGTCCGGTTCAGGCTGGGCCGGGCTAGTGCCACAACTGGCCTGGCCAGTTGGGATATATACAAATTTCTTTGTAAGGATATAAATCAGACTATGAGTTTATCTTGGTCTCTCTATCCATTTATCGATCTCAAGTCCCCAATTTTTACAAATTCTATTTCCACAATTCGGTCTCTTTATAAAATGGAATAGAAGAAGAAATCTTCAATTAGAAAGAGAGTGATTTAATTTACTGATATAATATTGTGGCACAAGTCATCTTAACAACACGCCCCTTCCTACAAATTGAGAACTCCAAAGAGTGATTTATGTGAAAACTTAGTAAGGGTTAAGATTATTAAGCCTCCAAAAAAGTGTTAAACATTTAAAGCTCAGAATCCATATACACATTATACATGCATAACTAGAATATCTGCTGCGTATACCTACTACACCATTCAAACTCCAAAAAAGTGTTAAACATTTAAATCTCAGAGTCCATATACACGTTATACATGCATAACTAGGATATCTGCTGCGTATACCTACACCATTCAACGCCTCAGCCCATTTTCAGGTACAATGCAGTGCCCCCAAATGTCCTAAACGAAAACATTTGAGGTTAAAACAATAAAAGACAAAAAATAAAAAAAAGGAAATTTTCTCAAAATTCATCTAAAAGAGGAATTACTTGACATTTTACCCATATATTTCGAATAACTTCAAAAAACCCCTGATAATGAACAAGGTCATAAGTTGGGATAGTTGAAAATGGGTACGAATGGTTGATAAGGTAGGTGTGTTTCGATTAATTCCCCGAAATATTAAAGAAACAAATAAGAAAAGAAAGGAAAGAAGAAAATAGAGGTAAAATGCCTTGGATACAATGTGATGGCTCTTGAAACATGCGTGAATTTTACAACTTAGGATACACGCACTTCATGCTTGACTTCATCTGCAGCTTCCTCTTTCGCCTTTGAAGGCGTCAAATTTGTTAATGCCCAATCTGGTGTTGATCCATTAAGCCAGAGTCCTTTTCCACTGTCCTTGTGTTTAAAATCAGGGGCCTTTGGGTTCACCTGAGATCACATAGAGGGCTTAAAAGATCAGTAGACTCCATTAATTACAATATATTATAGACGAAGTTGACAGACTATGGATAAACTGTTGTCCATCGGATCATCACCATCCATTAAGATGGCCAGTAGTGATGGTGATGGAACGAGTCTATGATGCATGATTAAGTCCTTGTCAGGTGATGGTGGGTCCTACTCTCCCCATCGATGTTCATTCAATGGATGATGATAATGCTATGGAATATGGTTTAGTCCAATGGATTACAATATGCTTCCCCCTAATCACAAGGCACCGACTTTATTGAGACTTAAAGTTGCCAGGAAAGCAAGAGACAAATCAAGTGGAATGGGAGCAAAAATTGAATAGAAATACAAAAAATAGAAACAAGAATAGATACTATTAAAAAAAGTACAATAAAGAAAGGGAAGTAACCTTGGACAATCTGTTGTCCCACCACTTGTCACGGTTGGCCACTAGATCTTTCCATAAGTCATTGGAATCTGTATTGTTGATCAACGGTTATCAGTGACATTAAAGCCCGTAAGACAACAATCTAAAAGGCACTTCATAAATCTCAGATACAGACGATGTTATCAAGAAGAGGCTTTTTTCTTATTGATTCAGCCTCTTTTCTTAAAGTAGTGCACATTGTTATGGCCTTGTGCACAAATCCAAGCATATACCCTTGTGGAAAGAAATTTTTTTAACTTTCTGATAAATCAATAAACTAATAATGAAGAGGTCTCAAGTATGAATATAGCTGGTTTGCTTGGCTTGAGCATTTCCATACACACTGAGAGGAATTCTCATACTAATAATGCTCTTTCAAGTACCAAGATCCCTCTGGTAGCCCAAAATATCAGAAATAATAAAAAATGCTTAAGACCTAAAACGCCTCTTAGTTCTATCATAGATCATGCTGTATAGTCGCAATGGTTATGCATTAAACAACTAACATAAAATCAAGCACCACAAATCACTCACTATCCACAAATGGTCATATTTAGTGACATCATGCATTGGTTTCAACAATGACTCATCCACCAAGAGAAGTACCAATGAATCAGAGTGATTAGAAAGTCTACTAAAACCCACACATGCAATGTTTCTTCTTTTCTGATTCGTAATACAGAATGTTGCATTCATAAAGGGAATTTATCTCCACATGAAAAATACAAGTTCGAACAAATATATGATACAATTAGAAGATGGAACAGAGTAAGGGATGGGACATCTATGAAGGACACTGCAGACGAAGGCGAAAAAGAAAAAGAAACAAATGTTGACAAGGTAGATGTATTTTGATAAATTTCCCAAAAAATTAAAGAAAAGAAACAGGAAAAGAAAGGAAAGAAGAAAATAAAGGTAAAACGCCTTAGATACAATGTGATGACTCTTCAAAGAGGCCCAAATTTTACGACTCGGGCTAGACGAACTTTGTGCTCGACTTTGTCCACAGTTTTCTTTTTCACCTTTGAGGATGTCAAATTTGTAATAATCAATTAGAGGGCTAATAAATAAATGAAACAAATGGAGCACTTCACTATGCACATCAATGCAAGAAAAACCCTACAACCTTTTTTTCCACCCAGCGTATATGTATATATTGTGTATAATATATTTCTATTTCTGGCAAGATTCTGCTATCAGTTATCACTCATCCCATATTACTCATAAAAGAAGAAAGGGAAACCAATTCAAATAACTCAAATCATATAAGTTATGAGATTGCAGAGAAGGGTGGGAAGAGCATAATGCAATGTTCGCAGTTCACACCCTTATTTTGCCACATATCAATGACGGTTCCATCAGATTTTAGTGCTTCCAGTAAAAAGACATGATTGCTTATGTATACTCTTTGTGAAAAGCAGTGCACACAATTAATTAGCTTTGGTGTCTTGACTGATTGACTCTATCCATGATCTTCAATTCAAACACCAAAAGGGTTGGTGCAACTCATTCAAGCATGTAGCACATGAGAAATAATGTGGATATGAGACTTCTGTACTCAGTAAATCAAAAATTGAATCTTGATGACCAGTCTTTAGGATGCATGTTGAATCCCGTAGGACAAATCTTATCTCGTGCTTTCAAATGCCAAGATAACAAGTTATGTGAAATGAAGTCAAGGGCTGGAATCTCAAAGATGGAAGCTAGTAATGCTTATGTCCCATCTTCTTTATGGATTATTGTGGTGATGCATGGCATGTGATGTTTATGGATGGAAGGAATCTATGATGAGACAGCCTTTTAAAAATTGTGGTTTCTCAATAGTTTTGAAAACTTGTAACTCCCACATGGAATAATGTTAGTAACGATAGGGATTTTTGAGACCTTAAGCCATGACATGGTAACCTCTAAAGTTTGGTACTCAAGCTATGGACCTACCAAACCTCAAGACCACAGCTCAAAGGAACAAGGGAGACCAACTCATGGGCAATGGGCTTTATGTGTTCTTAAATTGCTCCCATAGAACACCAGGACCATAGAACTTCCTCAAAACTATGCCAGGAATGCATCATGATTAGGTTAGGTCGGAATACTTCATAGCTACTAAGAAAGGAATTCAGATGAAATCTACTTGGATATTCTAAGAGAAACCATATTTTCGTTACAAAAGGATTATAAGAAGTTCACTTCAAAGGGATCTCATAAAAGGCCAACCTTGTTGTCTTGAGTGGGAGCAAATTGATAAAATTAATCAAGAGAATGGCACGCCTGCCTATCCAAAACCTTGGTAGCAAACATAGGAATCCACCTGTCTCAAATAGGTTCACATAAAAGGCTTAGATGAGGTGACATGAAATTGAGCTCCGTACACCAAAAGATTTTGGGTCTCTTCATTTTTGAAATCTAATATACTCCAAGCGTACTCTCCAAGAATCAAGCTGATCCGATAGGTGAATGACCAAGATCCGGCCTTGCAAAGTTGAAAGCCTAGTGTGGGTACCCAAATCGGCCCTCAATTTACAAAGGAGCCCTACAACACCCATGGTCAAAAGGCCCAGAACTTTGGTACAAGAAAGGCGCCATGGTAAAATGCCTATATCCCAAATTTGACCTCAACCGGACGTCAAATGACTCCAATAAAATCTTTCTGATCTCTTGTCAAGAATCAATGTGGGTGTCACCCCCTAAAACGTCCAAATTTACAAAGAAGCCCTATAAAATCTATCGTTGAATGTGCCAAAACTCTCAAGGAAGAAAGGCACAGTGCTCAGAAGCTTAAGTATCAAATTTGGGGTCCATCCGATGTCGGATGGGCCGTTTTTAAAAGCAATGATTGATGGACCACCAAGGGTTCACCAAACATTTGCACAAAGTGCATGGTATGGCCATGGTCTAGCAATGGAGATCAAGTTCCAGCAACTTTCCAAATTTTCTTTCTCCTAGAGACATGGACATCACTCACAATTCTTATGGCTACATGAGCTCAAATTTTGATATATTATTCCCTTCTCACCCAGCTTTTCATTCATGTGTAGCAATCCCATGACCTCAACCCACTCTCGGACGCATACCTAACAATTTGTGATGTATATTCAGCAGAAATTTTGCAAGGATACTCCTGACTCGACCCCCTTCATCAATATAAAATGTCCAAGGTTTCCAGGACGATTTTGGGGCCAGATCATAGAAAGAAGTTGCTCGAAAAACTCATGCCATTGAAATTTGAAAAAAGGCCCAATGATTTGGTCATAACTCCATCCATTTTGGGAGTCTTCTCATATGTACTAAAAAGATTCCTCACAGAATTTTGGCGTCTGATCGTTAACAGGAGAATTTACAAGAATTTGAAAGGAGCATGTGGTGTTCTTCAAAAGCTTGTTGCCAACCTTTAGTCTTCGAAGTTTCTTATCCAAATTTGTCACAAAATGTTCATGACAACTTTCTCCACAAAATTCAAGAGAAAATTTGAGCAAAAATGACCCAAAAAATACATCAAATTGGTGAGAAATAGATGATGGCATAAGAGAGAGGCTTCCCAAGCGCATTTTCAAGATATTTCTCATGTTCTGACCTCAAAAATGGTCAAGTTTCCTCTAGCTAGAGCCAGTTGCTGATTTTCCACCCACCTATGGGGACCGACATTGATTTTCCACACATGTTTCCTATGAGTTCTATATAAACACATGAGCTCCCATTTGTAAGGGGTTGGATGGTCTAGAGAGAAACCTAGAGTAAGAAACTAAGCAACCCACAGTCTCTCTACTACCCTAACCCTAGTGTGAGAAACAAATCAAGGTTCCAAAGTTTCCCCTAGCTAAATACCCGAACTCCAAAATTTAGCAACTAGGATAAAAAACCCATTACCAATGGATCGAGGGCATCCCCAGTATCACATAAACTGGTGGTCTAAGACTATCAATTGTACCAATCCAGGACTGCAACGAAGATCACCCCCCCCTCTCCCCCCCCCGGCCCCAATTGAAAGTACAGAAAGGGGATAGAACCGATGAGGATTTTGGGTCATCCCTTGGTCGAGGTCATGAGATATCCCTGTAGTTTAGAGAGATGTAGAGTGGGACCTTCGTGTGGAGAGGCTAGCCTATGAGGATAAGGCCAAAGCCTCGACACCCGCCTCCATACAGCATGTACATATGGCAGCTGCATTTCAGGGAGGCCCCCTCCCTTGGGGAAGTTCCATGAAGGGCCATACACATGAGATTGAGAGAGAGGAACCCCCGCATCCATGTTCAATGCTTGTACTTGTCCTCGAGGGTACACCTAAAATTGCTTTAGATTTTAGAACCCAAACATCTATTGGTTGGTTTTGAAAGACCAAGCATGAGTCCATGCCTCAAACTGTAGGTCATGGGTCCTGCTAGGTTGATTTGAGAACATGGCCGTAGGTTTCGAGATAAGCCAAGCTGAGCGCCCTGGCATTGTGTGATTCCAAGAACTAATTTCTCTTCAATATTTTTTTGAAAATCCAAACCTTTTGAAATCAGTAAAATAAACTCAAATATGATTTTTGGACATTTTTCAGAATTTTTGATAGTTTTTCTAGGGTTTGAATTGGCCTAGGGAAAATTGTTTGGTATATTACCAAACAAGGACATCCAAGGGGTTTTGACACACATAGGCCCCAGGTGGCCTACAGGCCCCATATGTGTTCAAGTAGGGCCCCCATATGGGCAGATAGGCCCCCAATCAGACGACATCAGCATGATGTCATTTGTATGGGTGGCCAACCTGTTTGTGGCCTTGCTTGTTTAAGAGACATATCTTTGATATGTTTAAAGTATATTAAGGGCAGACCACTTTGCACATGTGAATCCTATCAATTTTCCTAGAAGCGGTACGCTTTGAAATTGAATCAAATACATAGGATTGTTGTATAATTGATCTCCAAATGAGACACTTATCACATGATGGTTGGTCCAAATGAGAATGACATGTCATACTATTATTCACCACGTGTATAAAGCAATATGACTTGGTTAACTTAAGAGAGAAGGAATATCAACACATATGAGAAAGAAATCACTAATTTAAAGGGCACACACCATTTATGACTCAATCTCACTCCTAAATTAACCAAATATCACATGGATAACCTAGACATTGTGCTATGCTGTTAAACAGAAATTAAGGGCTTGGATTGGCTAAGGCTAATGATAATCAAGTCTAATCCCTTAATCTATGATAGATAAATAAGCATGAATGGCTTGGATTAAAGCCTCTCTCCCCTTGACTCATTTCATTGATTTCCTTAAGACCTTACTTTGAACACATGAAACAACTAAATCATGTGCTTTGAATCCAAGTTGACAGGACATAATAAATCTCAAAAAAATCATCATGCTATATGAGCTACAGACAGAAGTAGGCATAACAATTCATGTTCTTACCTTTATTTTGCCTCTGATCAATTTCTAATGTTTTCAATTTTGACAAAACCCACTCAGGTTTTATACCATCAAGCCATAGTGCTTCACCCGTTTCTTTATGTTTAAAATCTGGGTGTGTCGGCTGAGTCTGCATTAAAGCATATTAAAAAATTACAGGCAAACAAGAAATGAATCAAAATAACTAGTTATAAAAGAGGTGTTATCTAGATGTGTCATAGTAAAAATTAATATTCTATTTACCTTAACCTTCCGATTATCGCACCACTTACTGGGATCAGCAAAAAGATCTTCCCAAAGATGCCCTGCAGAAGGTCCAGCTAGATGTCATACAGTAATGCCATGAAAATTAAGGGTTGCACTAGCTAGTCTTGAAAGTCCTGAATTTTCACACTACAGACATAAGCCAACCAATGTGTTTGTTTTGTGATGCAAATCTGAAATAGCCATAGAAGTGTTCTATGTGATAAATATGTGCCAAACAATCAATCTTGTGCTCAATATCAAAGTCGAGAGGATATAACTTCCAAAAAAAGATCATCCTCACAAGGTAGTAGTAAAATACGAAAAGAAATAGGCATGCATATATATGAGTTCTAACCTTCACTTTGACCCTGATAAATGACTCTCATATTGATTTTTTAAAGTGTATAATATCGGCAAAAAGCCACTCTGGTTAAGGCCATCAAGCCATAACGCTTCGCCAGTTTCTTTGGGTTTAAAATCAGGGAACCTCGTACTAACCTACATAACACGCATATCAAACACGGGCCGAGTGAAAATCAAGGTGACAATTTGAGTTATATCATTGTGTGGGAACGAAGATTACCAATCGCATTACCTCACCATCCTCTCATCCCACCACTTGTCAGGATAAGAAAAAAGATCTTTCCAAAGATCCGTCACAAAATTATCCCTAGTCCCTGTTGCAAAAGGTCTTGCAAAATACCTTTGAATACTGCCATGAATAAAAAGAAGATGCTAACAGATCTCATGTATCCCCTGTTTCGTTTTCTTTTATTTATTTTTTTCTTTTAATAATTATGGATTCCCACAAGGTACCATTCATCAGAAGTTCCATTCTCAACATAAAATCTCGTAGATTTTCATTGTCATTTCAGTACTCTTATGTTACACAGGGTCTTTCGGTCAGTCATTTACAAATTTGTTTTCTCTCTCTTTGTTTTAGTTAATGTCACTAGGCAAAGGTTTTTATGTACTCTTCCATTGCATGTTGAGAACTTTTCTAAGTTAAAATTTTTTTGAGACGAAGTAACTCACAAATCCAAATAGTCTTAGAATTCACGCCATATGAATATTGGTGTAAACCAGCGTAGGAAAAATGGGCGGTTAGAGGTTAATCGGAACCAGCCACTGGTTGGTTCCAATTTCTGCCGGTTTTGGTGAACCAGCCAGGTCTTTTAAAAAAATCCAAATAAAATTATATAAAACCCCAAAAGATAAGGGAATTTGATTGCAATGAATTTTTTAATGTTTTTCATCTTTTGGCCAAAGATTAGAAATTTTTTTGGCCATTAATACTTATTTTTGCATTTTCCCATCTTTTTTTTTTTAATTTAAAAAATACCCCTATGCAAAATCAATTCTTTAAAATTCATTTTCCCATCTTCATTTGGATGTGTTTTGTTTTATCATGCTTTAAATATATTTTTCATATTTTATTATATTGTTTTTTGTATTTTTGTATTTTTTTAACACTTTTTTGACCGCTGGGAGTTGCCCAACTAGGCCGGTGGAACCACTTCCGGCCCCATGACTGGTTAACCATTCCAGATGGATTATTCAAAAATACCCCTGGGCAAAATCAATTCTTTAAAATTCATTTTTTTTATTAATTTTAAACTTCATTTGGATGTGTTTTGTTTTATCATGCTTTAAATATATTTTTCATATTTTATTATATTGTTTCTTGTATTTTTGTATTTTTTTAACACTTTTTTTACCGCTGGGAGTTGCCCAACTAGGCCAGTGGAACCACTTCCGGCCCCATGACTGGTTAACCGTTCCAGATTGATTTTTCCTACACTGGTGTAAACCATGTGGTATGTCACACTAGTCGAGGTAAGACAGAAAATTGCCGGATTACTTTACACTACAAAATAGTATTATAACAGAGCACCACCTTCAGTGAAAATCCATGGGCCGACAGTATATACAGACTTTGAGTCATACTGTACTTAGGAGAAGCTCTACTTGTTAGTTTATGATTTAGTTTCCTTTTTTCTAATTAGTGTCACGTGGGTATGTTTAGTCATGTTTTGCCTGTTTGCCTGTTGAGACTTGAGAACAATTGTATACGTCAAAACTCAAAAGAGCCTTTGCGTTGGGTGTCCAATATTGCAAGTGATCCCACATGAGGGCTTTGTTTGGAGCAGCCATTCAACCAAAAGTCAAAAACTCTTGGCATGGCTGGGATGTCCCAAAGAGACATGCCAGACGATTAATTACCAGATTAATTTCCCCCAAATCACTATGTATGTAGTTTGAGTGAAAGCAAATTCTGAGAAAGAGAAACCCCAATTTCCCATATAGAGATGGGGTGTCATTACAAAAGAACAAATTGTTTGACAACATCATCGACCCTACAAACATGACCTACATAGTTGAAAAAAATGCTCATTCAGTCCTTACATGCATATATACAAGTGCACATGAGATCCCTGGAATGCATGGAAAATGTCAAATGGGTGCTATAACCACATGACATTCTTGAAGAGCATAGATTAAATCACCAAAAATTGATGTTGACATCACTTGAACATGTCCATAGCCTGCTTTATGCAAACATCACAAGATTGGAACCAAGGTTTCAAAAAACAGTCTGCCTAGTTGCTAGGCGCCCAAGACCCCTCAGACCGCACGCCTAGACTTGGGTACCCAGGGACGTGGGCTTTTTACGAATTTTAAAGTCGCCCAAAAGGACAAATGGGGTAATTTTGACACCCAAAAAGGTATAAATATGTTATGGGGGTTATTTTCAACCCCTCAAATTTAAAAAAACACATACATAAGTCCTCAATCTCTTAGCTATACCTATTTTGAGAATCGAAAGTATTTTTTTTGGTTTGAAGCTTCCTAGACTTTTATTTTCTCATTGGAATTGTTTTTAAGATGCTATTGGAGGCATTAGAAGACTTTTGAGGTGAATAGTAGCTCGATTGAGGTAACAAATATTGAGGAGCAAAGACTGGGCAAAAAATATCAATTTTTTATCTTTATTTGAGTCTCATTTTCCGAATTTGATATATCCTCCTCGAGGTCTACCAAGTGTGGAGATCTGGGATGGAAGTATTGTGTTAACCCGCATAAGAATAACAAAAATAAAATTATGTGCAGTTTTTTGGACATATTTCTAATGCTGGCATAAATAGATTCAAGAAACATCTTGCTGGTATTAGAGGCGATGTTGCCCGTGTAAGAAAGTCCCAACGTTTGTAAAGAAAGAAATTTTTGACTATATTGAAGCTCAAAAAATAAAAAAATATCAAAAGGAAAAGATATAGCAAAATTGAGGTCAGGGGTCCATATTTTTTAGGATGATGTTGACATTGATAAGGATGAAGAAGGGGAAGACGAGGTCGGCCTGATTGCTACTCAGAGCGCTAAGAGTAAGAGGGGTTTTGGGTTTAAGAGGCATCATATGAAAGGGCCTATTGATAGTTTTTTTACACCTAGCCCCGAGACAGTAATTGAGAAAGAGAAGGGAAAGAGGAAAAAACAAAGAACACTTGAAAATAGATTTAAGAAGGAAAACAGAGGCCGGGTGGTTCAATATATTGCTCGATGGTTTTAACATGCAAGTATTTCTTTTAATACCGCTCACTTGAATATCTTCCATACAATGTTGAAAGCAATTAGGTAATTTGGGCCTGGTTCAAAAGGCCCAACTCCAGATTAGATTGGCGAGCCACTATTGAATAAAGAAGTAGAGTATACTAGGGAATATCTCAAGACCCATAAGGATGGCTGGGCTAAATTTGGGGTTTCTTTAATGACCGATCTGTGAAGTGATAGGAGTACCAAGAATTTGTTGGCAAATTGTCCCTTGGGTACAGTCTTTTTGCGATCCATTGATGTTTCTGATGATATTTATGATGCTAATGACATACTTTCTTTCATTAATAAAGGCATTGAGGAGGTTGGGGAGGAGCATGTAATTCAAGCGGTTACAGATAATGATGCTCCTAATATAGCTGCAAGCCATTTGCTTCGACAGAAGGCCTTACATATTTTAGACTACTTGCGCTGCACATTGCATAGATCTTATGGTCACAATCATTAGTGATATGACTACCATTAAAGGAGTTTTTTTAAAGGCTAAGAAGGTTACAATCTTCATATACAGTCACACACTTACCCTTGGCATGATGCCAAGTTTATTAAGAAGAGGGAGCTAATGAGGCCCAGGGTCACTAGATTTGCCACTGCCTACCTTAGTCTACAGAGCATGTATAGAAGGAGGATCCCATTGAGGACTATGTTTGCTTCAAAGGATTGGAGTCGATGTAGGTAGTCTAGAGATGCCAAGGGAAAGAAGGCAAGGGATATTGTTCTTTCTAAGTATTTTTGGCATGGGGTAAAACATGTGATACTACTATTTCCACCCTTGGTGAAGGTCTTGCACTTGGTTGATGCAGACAAGCCCTCTATGGGCTTTATAGATGATGCAATTGCAAGAGCTAAGAAGGAGATCACAGAGAATTTGGGCAATGATGAGGCCAAGTACAGCCCAATTTGGGAGATTATAGATGCCAAGTGGGATAGGCAGCTCCATAGACCATTGAATGCAACAGGGTACTACTTAAACCCCAAATTCTTTTATGTTGATGTTGATATTGAGGCAAAAGATACAATTATGGATGGTTTTAATGAGTGACTTGAGAGATTAGTTCCAGATCCACATATCCAAGATAAGATATCAACTAAAAAACTTATTCCGTACAAGCGTGCTTTGATGTCATTCGGCACAGATATGGCAATAAGACAGAGAAACAAAGATGAACTAGGTAATAATAATATATTTTGTACTTTTTGTTTGATAATTTTCCTTCAAGTTCTTAAAATTATGTATGATCATGTTAAATACCTAAATTAATTATAATAGTTGCCCACATATTGCAGCCCAATGGTGGAGACAACATGGGACTAGCGCTCCACACCTCTAGAAACTAGCTATTCGGATCTCGAGTTTGACAACTACCTTTTCTGGTTGTGAGCGCAATTGGAGTTTGTTTCGTTTTTCTTGTTTATAAGTTCATTTTTCTAATGTAGATTCATAGAAGATCATAGTAGTCTAGTACTGATGCATTTTTCTTATAGGTGTAATTTTTGTTAGAGAGAATCAGAGGCTCAAGGATAAGTTTAACCAGGAAAAGAAGGATCTCATCGCTTCGAAAGATATGGAGAATGCTTCAAATTAGCTAGATGGAGACCCTAGTAATGAGGTCTTCTCCAAGGAGGGATTGACCTGGGAAATGGTTGAGGAGGCTTCCAAACGAGCTTTTGATCGTAGAAGGGCCACTCGAGCAACGAAAGTTGCTTGTACTTCACACCCACAAAGGGAGATAGAGGAGGAGGCAGATTCAGAAGAAACTATGGAAGAAGAGCAATATGTTGAAGAGGGTAATGATTCTGATGATGAAGGCCTCGATTCTGATGCAGATGCAAGCGATTCTTATTCTTATTAATGTCCTCTCTCTTTTTTGTAGTATCTTTATTGCACTGTCTTGGTTAAGACTATAGACATTTGGATGCTAGACAGACTTTTTACCTTTTTGGACTATTTTGTTGTGTGGCTTTATACTTTTGTTTGTTGAAGAGTTGGAGACTCGGAGTCCATGTTTTCATGGAATATGGAGAATTGGAGAGTTGGAAACTATCAGACTATTACTATTACATTGCCTATTAGACACTTTTAAATGTTTTGTTTGGTTTGACTTTTAAAATTTTGAATAAGTTCATTCTCAACATGTGACATGTCATATGGTTGTTTATGAAAAAGTATGTTACAATATTTTCAAATATAATAAATTACAAAATTGACAAAAATATATGCATATATGTGTGTTCCAAACGCACATATATGTATATATTTAAAGAATTTGTACTACAGAGCGCTTGAGGTTCTAGGCGTTGGCCGCCAGGACGGCCGCCTAGTGTTTATTGAAACCTTGATTGGAACCTCATATTCATAAATGAGAATTGGATTCCTCTCATATTTTTTATTGTTTATATGTCTCCCAATGTAACCACAGTATTGATCCAAATTGCATAGAAACATCCTAAAGTGAGCCTCCCACAAGCAAATAAAACACCCTATCATCGTGTGATTCCAAGCTTGTAGGTACCTAATTTCTCTTCAATATTTTTTTTGAACATCCAAACCTTTTGAAATCAGTAAAATAAACTCAATTGTCATTTTTGGAGATTTTTCTGAATTTTTTATAATTTTTCTAGGGCCTAAAATGGGCAAGGAAAAGTGTTGGGTATAATACCAAAAAGGACATCAAAGGGGCTTTGACTCACATAGGGCCTAAGTGCCCTATAGGCCCCAATGTATCCAAGTAGGGCCCCACATAGGCACACTAGGGCCCCAATCAGATGACATCAGCATAATGTCATCTGTGTAGGCCCACCTGTTTGTGGCCTTGCTTGTTTAAGAGGCATATCTTTGATATGTATAAAGTATTTTAAGGGGGGACCACTTTGTACATGTGAATCCTATCACTTGTCCTAGAAGGAGTATGCCTTGAAGTTGAATCAAAGACGTAGGATTGTTGTATAATTTATCTCCAAGTGGGACACTTGTCACATGATGGTTGGTCCAAATGAGAAGACACATGTCATACTATTATTCACCACATGTATAAAGCCATATCACTTGGTTAACTTAGGAGAGAGAAGGAATCTCCACACATGAGAAATAAATTATTAATTTGAAGGAATCTCCACACCCCCAGTTTATGACTCAATTTCTCTCCTAAATTAACCAAATATCACATGGATAACCTTGGTTATTATTTTGCCTAAATTAAGGATCAATTAACCTAGACATTATGCTATGTTGTTAAAGAGAAACTAAGGGCTTGGATTGGCTAAGGATAATGGTAATCAAGTCTTATCCCTTATTCTGTGATAGCTAAATAAGGAAGAATGGCTTGGATTGAAGCCTCCCTCCCCTTGACTCATTTCATTAATTTCCTGAAGCCCTAACTTTGAACACAGAAAGAACTAAATCATGTGCTTTGAATCAAAGTTGACAGGACATAACAGATCTCAAATAAATCATCACGCTACATGAGCTACAAACAGAAGTAGGCATAACAATTCATGTTCTTACCTTTATCTTGCCTCTGATCAATTTCTAATGTTTTCAATTTTGACAAAACCCACTCAGCTTTTGGACCATCAAGCCATAGTGCTTCACCCGTTTCTTTATGTTTAAAATCTGGGTGTGTCGGCTGAGTCTGCACTAAAAGCATATTAAACAATAACAGGCAAACAAGAAATGAATCAAAATAACTAGTTATAAAAGAGGTGTTATCTAGACGTGTCATAGTAAAAATTAATATTTACCTTAACCTTTCGATTATCGCACCACTTACTGGGATCCGCAAAAAGATCTTCCCAACGATGCCCAATATCAGCCCTTATCTTCTCTATCTTCTGCCCTGCAGAAGGTCCAGCGAGATGTCATTCAGTAATGGCATGAACATTAAGGATTGCACTAGCTAGTCTGAAAGTCCTTAATTTTCAAATCCTTAATTTTCAAACTACAGACATAAGTCAATCAATGTGTTTGTTTTGTGTTGCAAAACTGAAATAGCCATAGCAGTGTTCTTCTTGATAAATATGCGCCAAACAATCAATCTTATGCACAATATCAAAGTCGAGAGGATAACTTCCAATAAAAGATCATCCTCACAGGTAGTAGTAAAATACAAAAAGAAATAGGCATGTATATATAAGTTCTAACCTTCACTTTGCCCCTGATCAACGACTCTCTTATCGATTTTTAAAGTTTCCAATATCGGCAAAAGCCCCTCTGGTTTAAGGCTATCAAGCCATAATGCTTCACCAGATTCTTTATGATGCAAAACTGAAATAGCCATAGAAGTGTTCTTCTTGATAAATATGTACCAAACAATTAATCTTGCGCACACTATCAAAGTCGACAGGATATGACTTCCAATAAAAGATCATCCTCACAAGGTAGCAGTAAAATATGAAAAGAAATAGGCAAGTATAAATAAGTTCTAACCTTCACTTTGCCCCTGATCAATGACTCTCGTATTGATTTTTAAAGTTTCCAATATTGGCAAAAGCCACTCTGGTTTAAGGCCATCAAGCCATAATGCTTCACCAGTTTCTTTATGTTTAAAATCAGGGTACCTCGAACTAACCTATATAACACGCATATCAAACACGGGCCGACAGAAAATCAAGGTGACAATTTGAGTTATATCATTGTGTGAGAACAAAGATTACCAAATGCATTGCCTTCACCATCCTCTCATCCCACCATTTGTCAGGATTAGAAAAAAGATCTTTCCAAAGATCCGCCACAAAATTATCCCTAGTCCCTGTTGCAAAATGTCTTGTAAAATACCTTTTAATAATGTCATGAATAAAAAGAAGATGCTAATGGATCTCCTGAATCCTCTGTTTCATTTTCTTTTGCTTTTATTTATTTTGACAATCATGGATTCCCAATTTCTAACACTTCAAGGTATCATTCATCAGAAGTTCCATTTTGAACATAAAATCTTATAGGTTTTCATTGTCATTTCAGTACTTGTATGTTACACAGGGTATTTTGGTCGGTCATTTACAAATTTGTATTCTCTGTCTTTGTTTTAGTTAATGTCACTAGGCATAGGTTTTTATGAACTCTTCCATTGCATATTGAGAACTTTACCGAGTTAAAAAGTCTCTGAGACGAAGTAACTCACAAATCCAAATAGTCTTAGACTTCATGCCATATGAATACCGGTGTAAACCATGTGGTAGGTCACACCAGCCAAGGTAGTGTGAACTAGACACAAAATTGCCCAATTTCTCCACGCTGTAAAATAGAACTATATCAGAACCCCACCTTCAATGAAAATCCCCATGCTGACAGTATATATCGACTTTGAGACATACTGCACTTAGGAGAAGCTCTAATTGTTAGTTTATAATTTAGTTTCCTTTTTCTAATTAGTGTCATGTCGCCCGTTAGAGACTTGAGAACAGTTGTATAAGTCAAAAGTGATCCCACATGAGGGCTTTGTTGGAGCAGCTATTCAGCCAAAAGTCAGAAACTCCTGGCATGCTGGGATGTTCCAAAAGAGACATGCCAGACAATTAATACGAGGTTACTTTTCCCCAAATAACTATGTATGTAGTTTGAGTGAAAGCAAATTCTGAGGAAGAGAAACCCCAATTTCCCGTATAGAGATAGGGTGTCACTACAAAAGAAACGGATTGTTTGATGGCATCATCAACCTTCAAACATGACCTACATAGTTAAAAAAACATAGTGCTCATTTAGGCCTTACATACATATATACACGTGCACAAGGGATTCCTGGGATGTATGGAAAATGTCAAATGGGTGTGACCACATCAAATTATTGAAAGCATAGATTGAATCACCGAAATTTGACGTTGACATCACTTGAACATGTCCATAGACTGTCTTATGCAAACATCACAAGATCAGAACCTCCATATTCATAAATGAGAATTGGATTTTTCTCATATTTTTTTATTGATTAAATGTCTCCCAAGTTAACCACAGTATTGATCCAAATTGCATACCAAATTATCGAAGAGCATAGATTGAATCGCCAAAATTTGATGTTGGCATCACTTGAACATGTCTATAGACTGTCTTATGCAAACATCAGAAGATCAGAACCTCCATATTCATAAATGAGAATTGGATTTTTCTCATATTTTTTTATTGATTAAATGTCTCCCAAGTTAACCACAGTATTGATCCAAATTGCATATCAAATTATCGAAGAGCATAGATTGAATAGCCAAAATTTGACATTGACATCACTTGAACATGTCCATAGACTGTCTTATGCAAACATCACAAAATCAGAACCTCCATATTCATAAATGAGAATTGGATTTTTCTCATATTTTTTTATTGTTTAAATGTCTCCCAAGTTAACCACAGTATTGATCTAAATTTCATATAGGCATAATAAAGTGAGCCTCCCACAAGCAAATAAAACCCCCAATCCCATGTAGCCCAAAAATAGCACAAGAGAAGGTTCTACAAGCTCAGATCTTATAGAGCTAAGGTACTAGATTGCATTTCAGGATTGTAAAACAAAACTTTCCCTTTATAACATTATAAACCTAAAGCAGGACTTTTTTTTTATGGGTATAACAAACATAAGTGAGGGATGAGAACTTCAGCATGTCACTCAGCTGACATCACACAAAGCATAACACAAATTTACAATAATGAACCATAAAAAATCAAAATGAAACCTAAGCAACGAATGTGAAAATAATAGAGGTTAGTAGAAAAGTCTATGCACAATGGCATCGAACAAGAATTTCAACGGAAAGCAACCTCCAAGTTAATATAACAAAACAAAATGGGTAACATAGCACAAAGTCATTATTATAATATAAAGTTTAGCACCATCAGGGCTCATATTCACCCCTCAAGTAACATTTAATGCTCAAATTAAAAACTAGGAGTTTAATTGCATACCATTAGCGAACTTTGCACAAAACTCCGGAGATTCCAATGCTGACAAAACCGAATCTGGTGTATGTTTATCCAACCAAAGAGCTTCTTTAGAATTCTTGTTTCTAAAATCAGGGTATCTGGGATTTCTCTAAACATAAAAAGATACAAAGAATAAATAAAAGCCAAGTCTGTAAATCAACATAGAAAACAAAAGGAGAAAAAAAAAAAAACCATCCTCAGAGACCAAAGTGTTCCTGCCAACTAACCTTATCAAATCTATTATCATACCAATTGTAGGGTTTGGCAAAAAGTTCTTTCCATAGACCCTCTACAGCAACAGCTTTCTGAACCTTATCTGTAAACAGAGACATGATTAAGACCTAAATCTACTGTAAATGAGTTCAAGGTATTAGATATCACTGAAAAGGGGAATGCTCCATAAGAAGGAAACTGTTCATCAGAAGGTTCTTGTGATTAGAATTTTCCTTTACTGATACGCAACAAGGGTATAAATATGGGGCAAACAAGGTTTCCTGACAGATTTCCTAAACGATTAACCAAGCTTACAAGATAAAGATCATCAAATTTACCAAAATCCTCTGAATTCTCTTCTGTCTGCTTGGGTGAAGGAGTTATTTTCTTTGACCAAGAAAGCTCTTCCTGAACATAACTTATGCTATGGACCATCACCTGACATGTGCATACATTAAGGGGGTGAATACAAGATACACATTAATGGACTAGAACAGAGTCCAAGCAAAAAATTTTTTCACTAACAAAGAGGGTCCAACAAAGCAGCAGATCGCCAAAAAGATTTTAGTATATTTATCCATGGATTCACAAAGACAGCCCAAGCCTAACAACCTGCAGACTACCTAAATCTGATTTCCAAAGGCTTCAATTCTCAACACGCACTCCCTAGTTATTTCCAAGTAATACCAAGGTGCTAATGCACATTAAGTGGAGAAATGCACATAGCATAGGATCAAAATATTTTACATAGCAAGAATTCTGAGCGAGGAATTGCAATAGAAAGTTTCCTGGTGACTGAAAATCTTAATGACCTTTGTCAAATCAGATAAATCTCAATGAGATTTCCTGGTTACTGAAAAATCTCAATAATATCGTGCACAACAAGAATTTTGAACCAATGGGTACACCAAAAAGTTTACATGAACTGAAAATCTCAATAACCTTTACACGTTATCCCAATAAGCGTTCCACCATAGACGCAATAAACTCTCAGAAAGGAATCACAAGGACTCGGTTGCCTTAGTAATCATACCTGGATACCAGCCTGACCATTTACATCTGTAAATTGTGGTGACTCTGCACTGAGTTGTCCCAACACATAAATAAGGTCATTTTCCTTCAGATGGCATGCAGCTATGCCAGCCATGTCACCTTCAAAGATAATAGGAATCCTGAATGTGATGAAAGAATCATGTAAATGCAAAATGACATAATCAAATATATATTCTTCTTTGTTCCAAATAACAATACAATTAAATAAGACCAATGCGACTAACGCGTTAGCTATCCATTGGTTATCGGTTAGCAATTTCCTCAGTAACCAGGCTCGTATTTGCAATTTTGAATCAAATTCACATCCAAATTTCATTGATTTTGGCCAAATTCAGCGGACCGTAAGTGAAAATTTGGAGTGATTTGGTGAACTTTAGCTGAAAACTTGAACTGAAAACATCCAAGAAAAAGTCTCCTACCAAAATCCCATGATTTAGGCCTTTTTGCCACTAGTGGGTCGCTAAATTTCAGTTCACAATATGTCATGCAAAGGCTAAAAGGGCAAAACCAATACCAAAACCAAAAGTCAAAGACAGTTTCCATAGCAAAATAATCAAAGAACTGAAGAATAGTAACATGTAAAAAATTAATAAGAACACATTTTCATCCATGATCATAACATTACATGAATGCACACCACCCAGTAAGAGAAAATGAAGAACCAAAAACAAACCATAGATGAGGAAAATCTAGGGTTTTTTGCTGAACAAGAACCGTGAAAGCCCATGTCCTCCCATCCTCCAACGTTTCAATCTGCACGGGCCCAGAGATTTTCCCAATCAAATGAACCAAGTTCGCCACTTTTGCCTGGTAAGGTATCTCTGTAGGCCTTGGCCACTCTCTCTTCTCTAACTCTCCCCCCAAATCCGAACCACTAAGTCCTACTATCTCATAACCATGGCCAGAAAACGAGGACTCGAGCTCTTGAGGACTCTTCTTCGCTTTTGAGTAACCAGGAGACTGTATATTCAGGAGACGAGGATGAAGAATAAACCACTTCTCAGAAGAATAAGAAGAAAGGGAGGACGAAGAAGAGTGAGAAAGCCATTGAGAAATCGCTGTGAAGCCTCTTCGTGTTAAATTCATGGCTCGAAAAGAGAGAGAGAGAGAGAGGAGGAGAGGGAGAGAGAGCGCGCGCTCTGTTTTTTTAAAAAATTATTGATCGGGTTCAGGCTCCTTTAGGGCATCACTGGTTCTGTCCGAAATATAGGCGTGTGAACGAAATTTTGACGTAATTTCGGATCTCGGAGAGGACGGCGGCATTATTTATGAGGAAATACTGAAATGGAGGGAATATTAGGTTTTTCATGTTTTGGAAATTTGTATGCTTCCGGTGGGAGGATACTGTACGTGAACTCCCCCGGCCAAAAGAGCTACTTGGGAGGATTTTCCAAACATGAAATTTTGGTTTCCACCTAATAATCACTATTAGGTGATTATTTTCAGAAAATGAAAAGTGAAATTCTGAGTTCTTCGACACTTAGATCATGCCCCTCAAGATGGGAAAGCCCATATTCGATTTTGGGATGATAAATTTTTTTTGGAGAGTATGAGATTTGAATTTTGTATATTTAAACTTGGTCCCAGGTTCAAAAATTACATCCCCAAAACTTTCGGTCCTGAATATACTCCATGTAGGTTTATCTTAGGGAGCAAATGGACAGTATGCTCATGCAGGAGCAAATTCTCTTTTGGCTTATGTAAATATATCTTATATTTTAGTGAAGTTAAAAATATCGTCAACATTTCATATTTATGTTGATATCTCAACTTTTTTAATTTTAAATTTTTCTATAAATTGGAAAATGGAAATAAAAATACTAATCCCTTTTTTATTTTATAATTCAAAACTAATCTTTTTTTATATATAATTTATGCCGGTGCATTTTTTTTTTCTTTAAAAAATAACCCAATCCGGTTATGCAATTTGCATAGAAGACTTTTTCTTTCAAAACTCAATCTGCCATTTAAAGTAGTGTATGCTATTTATATTTGTTGTATTTTTTTCCAAAAGCCGGTGCGATACTTGAAGTATCAGACTGTTGAAAAGGATGAAAAATATAAAATCATACTAAAAGTACTACCCCAAATATTTGTTTTTTTTTTTCAAAAGCTAAACGGTCTCGAATGATAAAAAAAAGTATTGTCGATAACTTAAAAGTACCGTACCAACCTCAGGCCAAATGGTTGGTAAAGGTCGGTTTGGTACTAAAAGCGCATGATAATAATATAGAGGCGGTCTGATAGTTCATGTGCCAGATCAAGTTTTTAAATAAAATGTCTCATATGTTGTCCAGTACTTCAAGCACTGGGTGTTATTTTGTGAAAAAGAAAAAAAAACTTAAAAAAAATGACCCATGTATAAAATGTGAAAAAAAAAAAAGGCATTTCTTTTTAATTATGAAAAAAATAAATGGCTTTATACATTAATTTCCCACCAGATTAAGCTCAAGTTTTATGTGTCTATAATTCTCGCCGTAATATACTATAAAATATAAAATAACAAATTTAAATAAATAAATATGGCAAAATTTACTCAAGTCCCACAATTTTGTGCAAACATATTTGGTAATTTTAATTATTTTTATAATGTTTACATATACATGAAGGTGAGAAGCATAAATAATCAAAAGATAAAATTAAAATACTAGATGTGCTCTTAAAAATGAACATGAACATAAAATATAAAATTTCTTAAAATTTTGAAAATATAGGGGATATTTACATAAATTTCCTTTTTTTTTTTCGATGTCTTGAGTGAAACAAAATTCGCAACCACTTGAGGGTAAATACTAGGTTTACAACACAATGACAAGTGCTAAATACTCGAGGGAAACATTATACTACCGTGTGTCAAATTTTCATTTAAAAAATTGTCATCTCCCTAACCTTTTTTTTATTTTTCTTTTCATGCAACGTGTCTTTTTAGTCATAACTATAATGATAAGATCGGACCAGTTGGATTACATTGTGGTGCAGTCATATGTCCAGTATAAGTAAAAAACGGATTTAGTCTAAAACAAATTAAAATAAAATATTTGATCAGTATTAGCCGGTTGAATCATCCAGTGTGGACCGCTAAATTAAGTCGAGGGAAAATTTATTGTAGGAAAGCAATACAAAAGAATCCACAGAGCTAAACAAATGAAGATGATACTCAATCAAAGAACCCGTACATGTCATATTGAACTATCCTGATCAGGGGTGCACAACCAGTATTACCGGGACCAGATCATCTTAAGACAATTATCAATCCAGATCAAGCAATTTTAATTAGAATAAATGATTTTTAAAAATATTGAAATGAACAATATGGTTCAACATGGCACCAAAACAAAGAAGAAGCTAAGGACGAAAAGAAATTGGCTATGGTGCACCTTTGATGAAATACTCACAAAGATTGGTTGGATAAAATGGGTGTAACATATCAATGAAAGAATTGGAGACATGATGGCAGAGGAATAGAATCACTAGATTGTTAATCACTACATAACTAAATTCTTGATTTAGATTTTTGGGTTAAGAATTTTGACATTAAGTCATGTACTTACAATGGAACAATATGGTCTATAGATTTTATAATCTTTAACCCAATGTAAATACCATTGACCATTAATGCAACTAATCGAATTCCCGTGCATACTCCGCTAACTTAGCACAAATTTATCAAGACACCTCATATTTTAACTATTTAACATTTTACCCGATCATGTGCATTGTGATATGTATTTCAAAATTAATTCAAAATAAATAGATAAAATATTATACATTAGGGAGAATTTAAGTGTGACTCTAGTAAACAATAAGATAAGAGAAGTAGACTTAGATGGACTGGCCATTTACATCACTGATTAAGAGGTTCAAGCTATTTCAAATAAAAGGCTAAAAAACGCACAAGGGTAAAATCCAAATAGCAATGATCACAGGTCTTGATTGGAAGTAGTGAGAATAGTTATAATGGCTTTGGTCCTCATTGAGAATATAGCTCTTGATAGAACAGAACGACAGACCATAATGTAGCCAACCCCAATAGTTAGAAAAACGATCTAAAAATAATGATGATATAAGTAGAATGTTAAATAGCTAATATTTTTTGTGCTAAATATTTCTTAAGTGGATCCCAAAAGTACAAATCCAAAAAAATCCTCCAATCTTCCAAAGTTTTTTTACCCAAAAGGGAGTAAGTCTACACTAGGGCCCAACCTTATTAGGTATCAACCGTACTTGACCTAGACTCGAATCGGGTCCAAGTGACCTGGACATGGAGCCAACTCAAGAAATTTTAAAAATATTTTTAAATAATTTAATTACATATTATATATATTTTTATACTTTATACTAGATTGGTTGGGTCAACCCCATAATAGACCCCACCTAACTGAATAGGGCCCATGCCAAACCCAAAACCCTCCCAAGCCAATAGGGCTTATGCCGAAGCCAAACCCCACCTAACCGATAAGGCCCATGCCTTGGGGTTGACCGAAACCGGGTTGATCCAACCCAATTGCCACCACTATGTACAATGTGCTCCCACAAAAGCACAAGCCACTCTACATTTAATTTAGGAAAATGGTTTGACATGTTTGCAACCCTATCAGTAAAGTAAGATCTCACCTCAAAATTCAAAATTCGCCAAATATTATAGTTCAAGCATAAAAAATTTCCAAGTCCATCATCTCATCCCTAATCATTATAATTGTGAAAACAAAAACAAAATTTCAAACCCTAAAAGTAGTATATATTGTAATACATTATGTAGACCATCCATTTTACCCTAAAAATAGTATTCAGTTTAATACATTTTCTAGACTATCCATTTTACCCTAAAAATAAATATTCATAGATTTGCAAGATCTATGCCATTTTTTTAGCTTCAAAATTTATAGTCGTATTAGAAATTGATTTTAGAGCTTTCATGAGGATTTCTAAAGCCCAACTCACTTTCCATACGACTCAAGGTGAGGCTTTACTTTGTTTTCATAAAACTTAGGCCTTACAAAACGAGGACTCCACGTGAGGCTTCGCCTTGTTTACATAAAACTTAAGCTTTACTTGATCTTTTAAGTTAAGGAGAAAAATTATATAGAGCTAAAGCTCTAAATAATCAAATTAGATCTAGAAGAGGTTGTTTTGATGTACAAATATCATCAAACATACCAAGGCATCGGATGCACAGACGTGAGAAAAAAGTAGATTTCCAGTTTTGTAAACAATACATCTTGTAACGCATTTTTTGACTGTCAATTTTCAAGATTTTCAAGTTTTCATAGATATACTCGATCTACATTATTTTTAAAACTTTAAATTTTATAATTAAAGGTAAACATATATCATAAAGCTATTACAAAAAATTCCAATAGTGAAACCACATTTTCGGATACTATTTGAAGGTGCGTTTTATTTGATTGTTTAGAGCCTCATCTATATACAAACTGCACACTTAATTTTATGTGTTTGAAGGCATTCAATCCCCCAATCAACAAGCTTCCGTAGTAATAGGTTATAATATTTTTTCCTTTTTACAAATATGGAAAAATATACAATGAGATCATTTATCTTTAATACAAAGTGATAACAATTAATCTTGACCATTAAACATGAAATTGAATGGCTGCATATATTTATTGCATTAATTGAGCTCAAAGTTCAAAAGAAATTTTCACAAACTTTATGACACATCTAAGCTATTAAATTTCACATCGAATAGTTATAAATAATTGTGATCTTTTTGTATAAATAGTCTAGTCGTATACAATCTTTTTTAACGTTAAAAGTAAAAGTGTTGCAAATTGTTAATTAAAATACGATGGAAACGAGAGAGGGAGGATGATCGAGTCATGCAACTTGTTGATTAAAATATGATGGAAACGAGAGAGGGACGATGAAAGAGTGGGTTAAAGGGGCTTAAGAGAGAGAGAGCCGTTAAAAGGGCTTCAAGGAGAGAGAGAGTCGTTAAAAGGGCTTGAAGAGAGAGAGAGATGTTACTTAAAAGAGCACACATTATTACGAGGGAGAGAGAGAGAGATGATTTTACTTGAAACGGCAGACATAATGAATAAGGAGATATTTGCTTCTAAAGTTAAAAATATCCATTGACCTTTTCTTTTTCTCCCATGGAACCTTTTTTCTAACATAGTATCCATTATTGTCCTTCCAATTTTTCTTCACCTTCTATATGCATTGTTGCCTTTTCAACGTAAAGAACCCAAGAAGGGAACAGAAAAAATAAATAAAATTTCCCTGATTGAGACCCAGACCATCTTTAACAAATTGTGACCCCAGCCGAAGTATGTGGCAACTTTTGGCCAGCAAATAAGGATGCATAAGCAACTTTTTTTAAAAAAAAAAATTCAACTTTTTTAAAAATAAAGTTGGTTATATTCTCTTTTTCAGGTAAATTTGCTGTAGTAATCGAACTTAAGACATTGCGTTGCTAATGTGAACTGCTTGGCACTCAAACTCGCTGGATTCTTCCATATGGAAGCATTCCAAATCGACGGGGCATATTTCTCACGGCAAAAGATAAAGTTTATACAAGGTTCGAATCTCACTTTAGAAGTAAAACAAAAGTTTATTTTATTTAAATGATGTAAATTTAATAGTTTGCAACTTTACTTCTGCACGTCAAGTTGTCATCTCATACAAGCCATACCCTTTTACGAATGAACTACTACGCACAAGCCTATATATATATTAAATTTCTAGGTTTTAACCTTATACACACCAATTCATCTTTATAATCATGCCCCCAAAACATAATTTGAGGTGTCCTCGAAACATGCCCTTAAAAATGGACTAAACAAGGAATCCTAAAAAATGGACCAAAC